TGCGTGGAGTTTAGGAGAAATAGTAGAAAGTAATAAAACATGAAGGAAGTGGTGTTGGCGGAAGAATAAAGTATGATAATAGTAAAATATTGTAAAAGGTTTCCAAAAAAGGAAATGGAGCAAGTAATAAAATACGGCCGCAAAAGGAAAGTGGAGGAAGGAATAAAATACAGAGGGATTATAAAAAATCAAAACAGGCCATTTTCTCCCTTTGTAGCAAAATATTTAGTATGACCAATTAGCTAGTCAAAAATCCAGACAATCAACATATATGCATGCATAAAATTGGTACACGACATTTTACACAGCATGGATAAGTGTGCCGAATAAGGCATGCAAGTATCAACTATTTACATACATCCCACTTACAAAAAGAACGCAATAAAATCAGTTCTAGGAGCACCCTGTAATTCGATTAGGTAGAGTTTGGATACAAGTATATAATTTCAAATGATTTTTTTTTTCTGGGAGTACAATTCCTCACATCAGTTCCAAACTATATGTTTGGAAATTTGAAGATTTAATATCCATCATTCAAAATTCAATATGTAGTTTGGAAAATCTTTGGAATTCCAATTGCATAATTATAATTTAACTGTTTACTTCTGAAATAACAATAAATTGAACATCAGAAGCAAAATAAGAAACTAAAGATAGATCAATGATTCGATATTTCGGTAATAGTATTAATTAATCTCAAATTAAAGTTTTGGATCTTCATATGCGCTGACGCTAGTTGTTTGTGTCATCTGAATAAAGCCACCGCCGCCGAGGATGAATGTTTCATTCCATATAAGATGCCTCCGTCCAAGTGCTGAGTAGAGAAAAGGTACCTACCTTTGGCATCTATAGCTACCTCTAGCAAAACAAGGAACAACGGGTACAGTTTGCATCTACGGTTACCTCCACTAACTAAAGGAACGAGCCTTTTGTTCCAGCGACAGCAGATGGGTGGCAAATTATTTTGGTGGAAATGGTGCATGAAGGAAAGAGAGAAGGGGTTTAGTAGAGGTTATTGAAGGAGACAGTATATAATTCTGAAGACTAAGGCCAGAGAAAGAATCCCGAATACGGGCCTTGTTAGAAAGAGAACATAAGCAACGAGAATTAATTTGATGGGATGATTGGCAGTTACACATTACATGGCAAAACATCTATATATTATTAAAAGTCAATGGCAAGGCATGCTATCCGCCACATGCACCATTACTAGGCAAATGATATGGCGTCATGTCATATAATTACTAATCATATTTGTTTCCTTACAAAAAAATAACAAACTATACTATCTACTAAAAGGCCATCATAAAATTGTGTATGTACCACATGTATCCCTTCTTACACTGGTATAGCGCCACATCATCATTCAACAACTTTTAGCATCATGCCACATCATCATCCAATGATCTTAATTAAAAATGCATACAAACCCCAAACCTCATTGCATGGAAACCACATGTATTACCATCTTAGCTAGAATTAATTCATGCTTTATTAATACAAATTTATATATAAATACATACATGTATTAGAATGTAAAATAAAAACCAAAAAAAAATCTAAAATAAATTATTGTTGTCATTGTACTCTAATTTACCCACGTTAAAAAAATTAATAAGTCATTTAAAGCGTCAAATTTAAAAATGAAATTATTCAATTATTCAAAGTATCACCACACACTAGTTGTTTACATTAATACTTGAACTCATGACCTTGTGATGGTAAGACCTTTACCACTTTAACTTCACATATTATGTCAATTAAGTCATATTACAAAGAGTTAATCACGTTCATAAATATTATATATTTAATGTCCAACTTATGCATCTATGTTTTTAACAACAATCTATAACAAGTTAAAAACAATAATACAATATTAAAATTATCTTTTTCATTTGCTCATACATATAGTCATACAAGCTAAGTTATAGCTATTTAATACATGTATCCCAAAAATGTATTGTAATTTCTAAGCTAATTTTTCCACATAATACGTCGACTTCTATGAAATTATCTATTATTAATAAAGAACTAATATCCAGTTTTCAACAAATTAAGTAAGCTGATATAAAATTCTGGTTCCTAATGTTTGCAAAAAAAAACTTTACACTTTTTTATAAAAAATATCGTCTCAAAACAAATGTAACCAATCTAAATTAATAGTCACCTAATAGATGTTAATTTTCATAATACATACAATGACCCGTGGCCAAAGACTAGTTTAATTTCAAATCCCTTACTACTGAGCTATTTCAAAATTTATACCAAGTTCTAGATTAGAAATTCTTGGGTATCCAAACACTTGGTTAGTCTAACATTACCATTTCAAATGAAATCATATTTCTCAAACACACCATGTATGTATTGCACATTTGCATATAATGCAATACATGGGACATGATTCAAGCTCTAATAAAAATCGTCAGCGCTACACATACACATACTGTCGAATACCGCCTACTTAGCAATTTGTTTCGATTAAACATAAAAAAGATGATATTCAAAGACTCAATCACAAACATCTCAATCCAGGTAAAACCCACACGATATGCCAAAAACAAGTCAATAGAAAGAGCAGGCAAAAATCTATACCGTGATATGTGAGTAATCCAATTTCACATTACTCGATTTCCTCGACTTTACCAAACTCGAACTCGCCTACAACAACAAAACTAAAATCAGTACTACAAAAACTCGAAATTTAGTGAAAAATTCATCTAAAAAAAATCGAAGTCAACTGATCCAATTCGATTAACAGACTAAAAAGTAATTACAAATACATAGTTTAACAACTAATATTGAACGAATTCGCATTAGATTACCTCTATAAATCCGCCACATCCATGGATTGAATCAGCAAACACTGAAGTGGTATGAGCAAGTAATAATAATGTGATCGAAAATGTAGTTGATATTGAGAGGAGAGAGAAGAAGGATTTCATTGCGGAAGATCTGCTAGGGTTTATGAGATGAGCTTCGATCCCGTTCCTTCTAACTCTCATCGCAATCTTGATGAGCAGCAGATCGGTCAGCTTATGCAGTGCACCGTGCAAGCCTCTTCCCCAATAAGAGCTTTTTTTCTCGAACGTTTTTCCAATTTGAGTTCTAAACGTAAACTATTGACAAAAATGGTTGCGTGGCAAAACTATTTACCAAACTAAGCTTCCAGGGTAAATCGCTGTCTCGGACAGTGTTTTTCCCCTGGTTTTTTTTTAAAAAAAAATTCAACTGGTAAACGCTGTCCCAGACAGCGTTTTACCTTCTGTATTTTTTTAAATTCAGTAGGGCATAAAACGCTGTCTCGGACAGCGTTTTACCGTGGGTTTTTTTAAAAAAAATTCAATGGGTAAAACGCTGTCCGGGACAGCGTTTTATGCCCTGTTTTTTTTTTTAAATGAAACGCTGTCCGCGACAGCGTTTCATGGCCATATATCAGCATGTTCACTTCAGCAGAATGCGCAAGAACTCAACCTCAACCTCAACGCTTTCCCTCCTCCCTCTCACACTAAACCACGACCGTACTCAAACACTCACTATCAGAGCGGCCGTGGGTTGACCCGGTGCTGCAATCGGAGGCATACACGAGCACATACGCGCCGCAATTCTGGCCAATCCCTTGCGAGACAACCTGGACGCCCTATAACGGTCCCAGAATCATTCCCGACGGGAGCATGTTGCGTGGAATAGGGCGACCAAGGTCAAAGCGCATACGTAATGAAATGGATGAGACTAACCGGCCCGCGAGCAAATGTAGTCGTTGTCACGTTCAGGGCCATAACCGGGCAACGTGTCCATCGAGACCCTCAGAGGACCCATGACTGTTAACTGAAATTCGTTGTAATCGTAGATGGAGGAATTATTTTGTAATAGAAAATTTTGATTTAATAACATTTGGAACATTTTGATTTAATAACATTTGGAACATTTGATCGTTAACATTTTGGTTAATTGTTAATGCGTTAACTCTGTTGGGATTTGTTAAATTGCATGTGAATAGATACGATGGACGGTGAAGATCGTACGCATGCAAGCTGTTTGCTGAAGCTTGTTTTCTGCCTGGATGCTGGTTGCTGTTTCCAGCAGAAAAGCGCTGTCTGAGACAGCGCTTTATGTTCAAGCATAAAGCGCTGTCTGAGACAGCGTTTTATGTTCAAGCATAAAGCGTTGTCTGAGACAGCGCTTTATGTTGAACATATAAAATAGTTGTAGTTGAATTTTTTTTTTAAAAAAAACCAGGGGTAAAACGCTGTCCGAGACAGCGATTTACCCTGGAAGCTTAGTTTGGTAAATAGTTTTGCCACGCAACCATTTTTGTCATTAGTTTACGTTTAGAGCTCAAATTGGAAAAACGTTCTTTTTTCTCTCTCTCTTTTTTTTTCAACTTGTGCTAGTACTATTTTTTGTTCACCTCATTTTTGTTTATCTAATACTCGTATGAGAAAGTCTTTGGCAAACAGCACACCAATAAAATAATATTATCCTCCAAAAAAAGCAAAAAGAATTTAATAATTTCTCAACTATTATGCTGGCAAAACGGGAACGAGGTATGTTTTTTTGGGGGAAATTTACCGCCATAAATGTGTGAATGTCATATGTTTGGCAATACGATTATCACTTCATAATTCTAATTAAGCAGCCTAATTAAGGAATGTAACATTTTAAACCACCCTTTGTTCCGATGGGATGAATTTTGTATGGCCCTAAATACCTACGAACTACAATCGTCAATAGTTTTTACCTTCTTCTTACCCCAATACCCCAAAAAGAAGCAAACATTTTAACAAACTTTCTCCATTTTTTAACTTTGGTGATTAATTTTTCTTTACACAGATTTTTTTTCTCTTCATATGGTGAAGAGGCTAATTGTAAATTTTCAATTATGGTTCGTTTTCACCATATTCAATCATTAGGAAGAAGAAAATATATATTGTTTTCTAACAAAAGAATTGTAACATAATAGTGTTGGCTAGGATAGTATTAACTAGGATATATAAGCGAAAATGAATGACCTATTTTCAAACTCGTTTAAGAAGCACTCAGAATTTGATCAACAAGGTTTCAAATACGATGTGGAATCCGGTACAGGAGGTATGAACCTTGACAAGTTCTTCGACGATGTGGAGAGGGTAAAGGAAGACATGAGGGAGGTGGAGAGGCTTTACAAGAGGCTCCAAGACTCGAACGAAGAAAGTAGGGTTGTCCACAATGCCAAGACCATGAAGGAGATTCGTGCACGGATGGACTCAGATGTGGCTTTAGTACTTAAAAAGGTGAAGATCGTCAAGGGTAAACTTGAAGCCCTAAACAAATCTAATGCACAAGCTCGTAACGTGCCTGGTTGTGGACCGGGTTCCTCAGCTGATAGGACCCGAACATCGGTGGTAAGCGGCCTAGGGAAGAAGCTTAAGGATATGATGGATAACTTTCAAGCCCTAAGAGGGAAAATGCAATCTGAGTACAAAGAAACTATGGAAAGAAGGTACAAGTAGTAAACTAAAAATTAAACTATCATTCTTATAAAATGCACAAACTTGTAATAATTATATTCATAAAGCATGTGGTCAAATTTAATATATGAATATTAAAAATTAAAATTACTTCAATTTTAAGGAAACCGAGAAAGTAAAATATTAATGTATTCATCTTCTCTTAGGTACTTTACTATAACCGGAGAGAAGGCAGATGAGAAAATGATTGAGAACCTAATCGAGAGTGGAGAGAGTGAAAACTTCCTCCAAAAGGCAATACAAGATCAAGGGAGAGGGCAGATACTAGACACAATATCGGAGCTCCAAGAAAGGCATGATGCTGTGAAGGAGATTGAAAAGAATTTGATTGAACTTCACCAAGTCTTTCTTGACATGGCTACTTTAGTTGAGGCTCAGGGACAACAACTTAATAACATCGAGAGCCACGTTGCTCATGCAAGCTCCTTCGTGAGGCGTGGAACTGATGAACTTGTGGAGGCAAGAGAACAACAAAAGAGCTCAAGGAAGTGGTACTGCATTGCCATTGTGGCTGGGATTGTGCTTATATTTGTCCTTGTTTTTCCTTTGTTTATCAATGTTATTTTGCCTCATTTAGTTTAATAAAGGAAGATGGGAAGTAAGGGACAAATTTAAGGAAAGCAAAAAGGCACAAACTACTAGATTTTGTACATCAATTCTTAGGGATGAACATTTTTGGATCGTTACCTTGTTAAGTTGGTAGTGATGAGTTTCAAAATTTTAAGTTTGTTACAAAATTTAGAATGACATTTCATGTATGATATACACAATTGTACTTTTATCTTTCTAGGGTAGTTCAAAACTATAAGATGTTTATAATTGATCTTGAAAGTTATGTATACCTTGTATATCATAACCTCTTGTATATAAGCTATAAATCGATTTCATTTTATATGAGCTTTTTTGACATCGAGGAAAGTGTTATGACAGATGAAAGAATGATAGATGAAAAACAACAAAAACACACTATGTATCTAAAGGAACATAGAATCAAATACTCGTAGCTAATAACAATGTAACACTCCCATAATGAGTCATTTACAAGGGAAAAACAATTCAAGACCCTAACAGAAAGGAAAAAACAACCTCACCAAATACAATTAACAGCAAGACTCGTTGATTGAAAAGGAAGAAAGAGAATGTCCTAATAAAAATTCAACACAAAATTTCAACTAAATATGATGTTCAAATTAGGTGATGATAATTTGTACTCCATTGATGTAATAATTTCTTTTAGATACAATGTAGTTCTAAGGCTTCAGAATTTTGCAACTTAGGGTTTTCGAATTAAATAGCTTTATTCTGAATTCGACCTTATTTGAGTTTGAGTTTGGTTTTGGTATAATCTAGAGGTGATCATTGGACGGGTCAGGCCGAGGTCAAAAAAAGTAGCCCATTCCTCGGGCTGGGCCGGGCCAAACTTCGGCCGGAAAATATGTGCCCAAACTAGCCGGGTCGTTCGGGCCGGACAAAAAAAAAAACAACTAAAGTTGCATAAAATCGCTTTCCCAAGCCGCCCAATATTTTTTTTTTAAATCGGGCCAGGCCAGGCCAAAAAATTCATCCCAAAATCGGGTCGGGCTCAATTTATCAGGTTTAGTATAATCTATATATACTGTATATTAAAAGGCGTTTCGAATCAAGTCAACATGCCACGTGGTACTCTCCAAAGCGTTTCGAATCAAGTCTACATGCCACGTAGCACTATCCCGTGCGACTTTCTTTAACATTATTATTATTATTATATATTAAAAGGCGTTCCTAAATTTGTGTATGTGTCACGTGTAATCCACCAATAGTATCACTCCCCATCATCATTCAACAACCTTTAGCATCAGGAATTCGACGTTCCTAACAACTTCTATGTGCCACGTAGGCCCCTCAATACGCCACGTCACATACTCAATTTCTCAATACACTACGTCACTAACTCAATTCTTCAATATGCCATGTCACCCACGCAACCAATAATACTCCATTTTATTTTAACTAAATTTTAAAAAAAAATGGACGAGAAGGTTTGAACACTCAACCTCTTAGAAGAAAGATCATTGTTTAACCATCTAGGCTAATTGTCAATTATGCTATAATTTAATTTGCACACAAATAAATTAATACTTCCTCTATATTTTTAATTGCACCATTTGACATTTCACGCTTGTCAATGCAATACTTTGGCCATTAATATCTTTATTATACTTAAATTATAAATTTTAAAAATTTGATATTTGAAAAGTAGACATCGAGACGAATCTAACGAGATCCCATATGACTATGTTTTTTCTTATGGATAAATCACAAAAGATGGTTAAAAGAGGTTGTGTGAATAGTGTAAAATCCCAAATGGTGCAATTAAAAAAAATGGAGGAAGTACTAAACTAAAAAAGTATTGAAAACACATACAAACAATTAAATGTTTTTTTAAAAAATTAGCAGTTGCACAACTACAAAAGTAGAAACCTGGGGAACGCCTGGGCTATTCACTATCATAGAATAAAAACAAAAATAAATAATCTAAAATGTTGTCATTATATTCTAATTTACTCACAACAAGCTTCTAAATAATAAAGATATTATTCATAGTATGACCTAGAGCAAAGCTCGGGTCACACACTAGTTGACTATTATTCCATGTTATTCTACATCAATTAAAAAAATTTAGAAACATGTATATATAAGGTTCAAACTCTTGATCTCAAGGTTAATTGATAGTAAGTTAGCAAAAAAAAAAAATATTATGTATTGTAATACATGTCTTAATATGTATCTATAATACCATTTACAATAATGTAATAAATCTAATAACTTGGGGCATGGCCTGGGCCCTAAATCTAGTTATTTCAATTATTGCTGGTATGAAAGGTTGAATTGATACAAATCACTATGTTTACAACAATTTTGGTGGTTTTTGTACAAGTAGCATTTGATACAAAAAGCATTTTTGAAGTATACTTAGCTTACACAATTACTAGGTTTAGTTTTTAATCCCTTGGTGTATTGTTTAATTTGTGTTTGATTTACATATAGGACCTTAGGCCGTGAGACAAAATATGAGTGTATATAGGTACCAGACTTGTGTGAGTGGTTGATCTTATCATGTTCATTATTTATACAAACTGGAAAAACTAATAAATGATATGAGCTTTACTTTATTTTCTAAATTGATATTGTATTTAATATACTCTCAATACTATTTAATTTCTAAATTGATGTGTATTCTTTTGTCTTTTTCATGTAAAGTTGAACCCCCTACACCAAAATTGTCTAATGGCCTTACTTGAACTTTTTTTAGGAAGCATGGTTGAATTAGCATTTTTGATAAATTACTAATAATACATAAATGCCTTAACAATTGAATGGAACTTCAATAATAATGTGCTTATATTTCATTTATGTACATGTGATGTTAAGATAATGGGGGGGGGGGTTGGCAGTCTAGCGAATTTGGAGCTTGATCATGTTGTGATTTTAAACAATGATGAGGAGGGTAGTCCCTGGTTACACTCAAAATTAAAATTACTTGACTTTATGTTGACTTTGATATTTGACCAATACAAGCTGATTGTAGAAAAGTGTTATTCTTTGAGAATGACATGGCCCAACGATAAGAAAAGATAGTAGATAAACATCAAGGCCCAATAGAGGAAGCCCAAGAGATGAAACAAGACCGATTTGAGCAGTCAAGAGTATTTATATTCAAAGGGAACTGGCGCCAAGAATTGTAACCGTCTTGCGGTGGAGTTAATGGGATGAACCGCACTATATTTGCCTATAAATAGATGGAATTCATGGAAACGTCCAATGAAGAGACATCAGCAAATCAATCAACAAAAGCATTTCATTTTCCTTAAGCTTTCTTCTTAGCTTTCTTAGTTTTCCCTTGACTTAGTAGCCAAGAGGTATGTTAGTTTTTTAGCATGTATTGAAGATCAAAAGTTCATTCCAATTGTATAAACATGGAGGTAATCTTTCCATTAATTTGTATAATTGTAGCCTTGTCTTTATCTCTCGATTAATGGAAAACATTTGCATTTTGTGTCATATGTTCATCTTTTCGTTTATTTAGCAATCTAACTTGTTTAATTTCTTTGAGGATAGTTTCAATTCTTTACTATTGTTGTGTTACGTTAGCAAGGTTATCAATTTTTTAAAACCAATAACAATTCGGGAAACCCCTTAATACTCTTAAACAAGATAGGGTTTTTGACTTGTTGGTAAATAACAATGTTTGGCTCAACAAGTTTTTTGGCGACCACAATGGGAGAAGACTAAAATAAATCCACTTTAAGTATTGGAAAGTTATCCCATGGCTCCTAAGCGTTCACCACGTAAAGGAAATTGTAGGGAATTTTTATCTCACCCTATTGTGGGTTATGTTTTTAGGCATGCCGGCAATCCTATGAAAGAAGCTAGAGAAAAAGAGTCGCCAACAAGTTTTAGGAACTTCTAAACTGTTCACAATTGTGAAGGTTACACCCCATTCACAATCACAGAGATTGTTAATCTCCATAGTGGTCTAGAACCATGACTGGATGTTTGGGATGATGGTACGAATTTGACTTTCAAAGAGGTCAAACCCGCCCAGGCCTCTACTTGATCCTTATTGACATTCATGCGCGCTTTTCAATTAACATACATACATCAAACTAATCTTAAACCGGTTTAATCTATGTTGGTTGACTATTAATGCACAATTAAATCTAAAATATATTTGTGATCACTTGAATTACAATCATGTTAAACCTAAATTCGATTATTTATTATCTTATTAGGCGTGATTTCAACTACAAATTCCCTTTAAACCGGCAAAAAAGGGTGTGATCAAGCAATAGCAACAAATCGTTGATAATCAAGCAACATATAATCAACATAATAATAATCATCATAAAAACATCGTTAGTAGTAAGATCCTATGCATGATACTAATAAACAGATTAATAACAATCCTAGCATGTTACTAATAACAAAATTAACACGCTATCCTAAACATGATGCTAGTAACGAAATCAACACATACATTATCCTAAATATGACTTCTATTCAAAAGGGATTAAATTACTTACTTTGATGCCTTGACCTTCTTGCTATTAAAACAATACACACGTTAGTAAACTTCAAGAAAGTAAGATCAATAAATTAATTAATAAACTAGATTAATTAGGAATAGAAATATAGATTTAGGACCAAACCCTCAGAAATATCACCCTTTCACGTCGAGGTCGAAGACAACGTTGAGTATGGTTTGGAGTATTCGAATAAGGCAAAGGAAGTATTGTGAATGATAAGGCCGTTGCGACGCGACAAGTCCATCGCGACGCGTCAAGCTCTGACGCATCGTGTCAAAAGTTGTTCTATTTTGTTTAAAACTTCTGATCTTTTCTGACTCTCTTTGTTCCTATAAATAGAGGTCGTTTTCCCCGTTTTCAAATCAGCTACAACCACCTAGCCATTAGCTACAACCATCAAGAATTCTTATCTCTGAGCGCGGGGAAATTATGTCGTTGACTAACCTCCTCACGGCCAAACAAAATTTATTATAATCCTAAACTAACCCCTAAACAAGTCTAGTGGTAAGTTCGGAGTCGAACCACAAGGAACGGTAATGTTGGATTGTTCTCGATCTAATGCTTAAGCTACGCCGAAGTCGGTTTATGCATAGTGGACACTACAACTACACTAACACACATATAAAGATCAAGATATTACAAAGTCTACTAGGGACAAAGATCCACTTTGAACAATTAACAAGTTAATGGGAATCGATTTGATAATCAATCATGCAAAGAAAGAATTAAAATGGGAATTAATTACTATCAAGAGCAATCTCTCAAATTCCTAGCCTAGATCCCTCATTGACTAGGTGCATAGAAGAAATTTACCCAAAATGCAATCAAATATATAAATTCTAATTCACAATCCCTTGTCAAACTAGAACTAACATGCAATTAAGTTTGCTATCTTGGGAGATCAATCCAATCTAAAACAAACAACATGCCATCATCAATTCAATCAATTTAATCACACAATTATCATCAAATTTATCTCAA